CCTCTCAGTCTAGGGGACAATGCTCAATCCACTGAGCCACACCGGCAGGACCAAATTCATTTATTTTTTACTCCATGAAAATACTGTCAACTTTCTCCCCCAAACAAATTTTGTTTGGTTGTGTGTGTTCACAAAGAGATTGTTGAGGAGGCGATTTTGTTTGAGCAATGTATCTACAAATCATGGAAAAAGAGAGGGGGATGCAAGTATGCCAGCCCCTGCATTTTCATTGCTACATTCCAGTCTGCATGACACTTGACCGTGTCCTTTGATTCAGGGATCAATTGGTCCACTTTGGCCCGGGTTGACATTACTAATTCTTATATTCCTCCTACGTAGATTCTTAATTCAACAAAATACATCTAGTGTCTCTGATGGGAACATATGTTTTGTGTAATGTCCTTAATTTCTGCAGATAGAGTCATTCTTGGCACCTGTGGGCTGTTTTTACTAGAAGATAATAAGGTTCTAAATTCAGCCCTTACTTCCCTTTGGAATGGCATGGGATGTCAAAGCTGGCTGCTTACCTATTTGTCATATTAGAAGTGCTTGTAATTTCTGTTTTACTCCTGTAATATGTAGAATAGTGCCGATAAGGAAATCTGAATTTCTCTAGGAGCCCGGGAATAACATTCTTCAGATGTGATCATCTGAGCTGACACCAAGTAAGCAACACTGACTGGATTATTTGAGCTCTTTAAATCAAAATAACAAAGGTAGTTTCTTTAGCAAACCTCCCCACCCCCAGAGCAAATTGGAAGACTGGATAATGTTGAAAAGGGGACTCTGACCAGGCCTTGATTTTCCTTCTTGTGCCAAGACTCACTCTTCCTGAGATGTTACTTAGCAACCCTTCAAGTGAGGGGGCCTTTACCTGGGTTCTCCGTTCTATTTCAAGGAGGTGGAATCCAAAGGGGCAAGGCTGGGGGAAGGTGGACGTAGCCTGACACTAGGACAAGGAGCTTCACTGCAGTGTATTTTAGCTTAAAGTGCAGGTGGTAGTTACACTCTTGACCTGGATCAAATGAAGCCAAGTCATCGTTGCCATCCTGCTTGCACGTCTGTCTGTTTTAGCCGTAGATTGGGCACCTGTTGCCTCCCTCCTGAGTGCTATAGAACTGTTCGCAACATTCTAAACTCGTGCCTCCAGATTTAACATTAAAACTCTGATCTTTGCTTTAATGTTCTTTAAAATCAATACTGTAACAAACTGAAATGTAACTTTAGACAGTCTTTTTAAAGGCACACTACCAGTGTGAACTCAGACCCTCTGCTCTGAGGTTCTGTTTCTTGTCTTGTTTTATCCTTATCCGAAGACATGCTTAGAAAGAGGGGGTTGAGGGAGAGACATCAATGTGAGAGAGAAACATCTATCAGTTGCCTATGTGCCCTTACCAGAGATGAAACGCACAGACCTGGGTATGTGCCCTGACCGGGAATCAAACCAGCAACATTTTGCTGCACAGGACGATCTCAACCAACTGAGCCACTCGGGCCGGGCTAGGCTCTCTTGGGTTCTGGATAAAAGCAGTTTCCAAGTCCAAGTGATTTGTCCAACCAGTTTTAAAGTAACTTGTTTAAACTCGGTACAGAACAACTGATAATTCAAGTTAACATAAAAGGGAAATGAAAAGGATTATGTATCAGGCAAATCACTTCATCAGGCCTAGTGGTCACCATTTCTCCGAACCAAGCTCAGTGTCCCTGGTTTCCTTCCTGTTGATGCAGTTAGGTGCCCTGAGGGAGTATGAGAAACCAAAGGAGGGGAAGGAGGGTTACCAGGCCACCTCCCTTTTCCACGTAGGAAGGTGACATGGTTTCACTCGTTAGTTTGAGCTAGCTGTATGGATACTGCCCTGGGGTCTTCAGGAGGAAGGGGTTCTGGAGGGATGAAAAGCCAGTGGAGGCGGCATTGATATGGGAAAAGATTCCACTGGTATCAGTGGCAAGGCTTAGGTTTTCTGTCATGACTTTGACTCCTATTGGACATAATAGTTTTCAGGAGTAAATCTTGCTGAGCTCTGAACTTTCCTTGAGCTTTCTTATCTCCAGTGGTCCTTCTGATTCCTCCATAGACCACAGCTGTGCAGGTTGGCTGACGCGTACTTTTCTAGGTTAGGTTCCTTCACTGCCTACTTTGTATACCTTACATGTGATCATCCTGTCCTAGCACAATGCCTTATATCAATCAAATAAAACACCCATTTCTCTGGTCCATTACCACTGCCACTAAGATTGAAATGATTCCACAAAACTTACCCTGCCCCAGACATACTCCTAGTGACTGCTGTGTCCCAGCAACCTAGTTTGATGTTTTTCAAACATATTTGACCATGACCAGCAGTAAAATAATCTACATCATGACCAGATACACTTTTTTAAAATATATAGTGTTGCCCTGGCTGGTTTGGCTCAGCGGTTAGAGCATCGGCCTGCAGTCCAGAGAGACCCAGGTTTGGTTCCCGCTAAGGGCACGTACCTTGGTTGCAGTTTGTCCCCAGCCCTGGTTGGCTCATGCGGGTGGCGACCACTTGATGTGTCCCCTTCACGTCAATGTTTCTCTCCCTCCTGCACACCCCCTACTGGGGATCAAGTCCACAATCTGACAAGTGCCCTGATCAGGAATCCAACCCGGACCTCAGTCCGTGGAACAATGCTCAATCCACTGAGCCACACGGGCCGGGCACAATCAGATCCTTTTATGTGTGCATCTATATGTGCCTTTTATTGCACTGGAAAAATGTATCACAAAACTACTCTAATACGTCTCATTAAAATGTTCTAGTTATCACACACAAAAACTGATTTTAAACCTCAATTGTTGAACCAAAAACACGATTTCTAATTTCCACACAATGGTAATACCTGAGGCAACACTGAAGTTACTGCACATATACTAGACTCTTCCCTTGACCCTTCTCATCCCAGAGTCTTGACTCCCATTTGCTCTCCCGATGCCCTGATTTCTCCTGTTCCTTCCTGATAAGTTACTCATTCAGTTTCACAACCCTCAGTTTGCAGTTTACAAAGGCCGTTTTCCGACTTTCCGTATGGTTGCTTTGTATGCCGCTGCAGACACTGACTAAAGCAGCACACCCTTTTCATGCTCCAAAGCTTCTCACAACTCGATTCAAACCTTCCTATCATTTTGTTTATAATCAACTGAGTTTCATGTTGTTTCCTATATAAACATCAGCTGAGAATGTTGAGACTCTTCTATGAGTGGACTTAAAAATGAGGGATCTGCCCTGGCCGATTTAGCTCGGCGGTTAGAGCGTTGGCCTGCACTCTGGAGAGAAGTGGGTTCGGATCCCGCTAGGGGCGCGTACCTTGGTTGCAGTTTGTCCCCGGCCCTGGTTGGGTCATGCGGGAGGCAGCCACTCGATGTGTCCCTTTCACGTCGATGTTTCTCTCTCTTCCTCTCTCTCCCTCCCACTCTCTCTGAACAAAAAATGGAAAAATGTCCTCGGGTGAGGATAAAAAAAAATACAAGAATGAGGGGCCCTATGACATCCCAAGCCACTCATTTTAATAAGTACCTTCTAGGAATGCAGTGTTGAGTGTCAAGTGTAGAGACAGCAAACTGAGAAGGGCAGGACCAAAAGCGAAAAGGCTAGGTTACTAATTTGGGTGTAGAAAAACAGTATCTTTTACTATTAGAGACTAATTAAAATTTCATTGGTCAGTGAAATACATATTTTAAAATAAGAGAGAACAAAGACCAATCCTATAGGCCTTAATTTTTTTCTGAAAAGTTCAAAGCAGTTATCTGCCCAGAGCGGGGTTGAAATACCCGTAGCAGAACTAAAGAGCTGCGTACCCATTGCCAGTCCGCAGGACATCAGTTCACACGGACTTCGCCCATCAATGTTAGAGCCGCCAGGCAGGTGAATGTTCGGCCAGGGCTCGGCCAGGGGCAGGGTGTGCCATTTCTCAGTGAATACCTGGCCGAGAAGACAGACATTTGCAGGAGCCAAAGAACCAAGGGGAAAGGCGCTAACAGAAGCTTCCAGGTAGCCATTCTTCACCTTGGAAGTTGCACACCATGATCAAAAGGCTAACCTGCCCGATCTGTCCTGCTCATTGCTTTGGTATGTCAAGGAGCTACTGGAACAATGCGCGTGGATGCATATGCAGCTAACTACTGTCACCTCCTTGTCCCTCAATCTGCTCTTAAACTGACATTCTAGGAGAAAACACAAACCAACGCTTAGGTTACTAAGGACATGTGAATGGTTCTTGGCCAAGTGAGGACGGTGAATGGAGATGGGAACCGACACGAACACAGTGCAACAGCCCATGTCAGTCCTGCAGGGCAGGATAAAGGTGTCGCCTGCGGAGAACTCCTGGGCTGCCTCAGTAAATCTGGGAATCAGATGGGCAGAGCAGCCCGTGGTAGAGAATCCCTTGAGGTAAGGACGCTCCTGCAAACCTCAAGTTCATGTCAGCTCCTGATGCCACTGGAAAGCCATGAAGGTGAGACACACAAGCTAGTAGAGGTTCTTGACCAACTTGATTGCCAGGGATATACAATCATGTTAAGACATTTCAATCCTGTCATCACAAGCTCTCTGTCTGGACACTAAATGAAGCACAACTAAAGGTGCCAGCAGAGTGAGGACGGGGAGGGGGAGGGGAAACCCTGCCCACCCCTCTGGCGGGCAGCCTACGGCGAAGGCTAACGGAACAAGGAGATGCCGCACGTGTACATCCAGTATTTATCTACAGCCTTCGGTTTCCAGTTGCGCAGCCTAAACTCCCGCTGCTGTCATTTAATCGAATCTAAGATGTACAATTTTTTCCACACATTAACACCTCTGAAATTGGGACAGTACCGACCCAGTATCAACTGTGCTGTAACCGCAGGCACATGTCCTTCTCTAAGACAAGGAAGGAGCTGCGTCACGGCCCCACCGGCGACAGCAGTGCGGCCCCGACGCTGAAAGTGGCCGAGCTGCCTCTGCCCAGACCCGGCCGTGAACGGTGTGGTATCAAATGTAGCAACTGCATTTCAAAGCTCGCCAGACCTGGATTCCTTTATTCAGATCACAGTTAAATATGAACAGCTCACGCTAGGCCACGGGGGCTCCTCCTGACTGGCCACTTTCATCTGCCTTCACCGACGTCGCTGTCGCCGCCACTGTCACTGCTGCTGTCACAGGCAGTTCGGGGCCCCAGGGCCTCCCTGGAAGGAAAAGAAGGTGGAGAGTCTCACTGCAAGTCAGTCCCGGGGAACAGCCAAACCACAGGCCGCCTGGACTTGTACAAGGAAACAACTGTTAACGCATCCTGCCGCTTTGCAAGGAAGGGGAATTCAGGGGGTAGAAAGCTACACATTTGAATGGGGAGATTCAAATGTGACCACTTCAATGGTTTGCTCCATGTTTACAACTTTCCTGCAGGGTAACAATAACAGTAGCCACCTACTTTTGTTCCTGGCTGATTGTGAAGTCAGCCGTTACCCTCTGTGTGAGGCTCTCACAAATAGGTAAGCTGAAGGCACTGGCCAGCTTCACTATCTCGATGGCCTGGGCAGGGCTGTTGGATGCTTTTGCACTGTCCATGAACTCATTCAGCAACTCGTTTCTGCAGAAGAAGGGCAGAATGTCAGCATTCCCCATCTGAACCCCAAGCCCCAGTCTCAGATTCACATGCAGGATCTAGCATTTTAGAAAGTTGTCATATAACCCTCAACTGTGGCTTTGGAGGTAAATCAATAAAGTCTAATGTTAAAGGGCCCAGCATGAACACGGCTCACTACGCCTTTCCTGGGGGCCTGGCCAATGCACTCCCAGGGCTGTGATCACTGACCACAGGCATACATCCACGCCTGCCTCGGATGCCCTGGGCGGGTGTGACTGTCCAGTTGCCTGCCTATCAGAAGAGTGCCCCACTACTGCGACTGAGGTAGGTGAGGAAATCCCAGTCACCTCACGGGAAGAGTCCAGCCCATTCCAGGATGTACCCGGGCAGGCCTGTTAACTCCAACTTACCTGGGGATCTTATTATGCTTCCTGAAAAGCCCCAGCATCTTCCTGTTCGAGATGAGATGGGAGAAAGACAATTAATACTAACAAAACAGAAGGCACTGCGACGACCACAGCTGTTCCTCTTGGACTCAGACGAGGTGTCCTTCCTCACTGCAGGGCAAGCTCCTGGAGACGCCCATCTGTGAGCTCCGCCGGCCCCAGCCTGTCTCCCCACAAGCACCGTGGGTGCTCTGGTCACCCCTCCCAAACTTCAGGTGCAAACATGACAGGTTTCACAGGCACACCTGATCTGTTGCCGTGCTGAGAACTGCTGGGGTGTGTCCTCTCCAGGAGGATCACTTCAGTCCTCCAGGGAGGGAATATATCCTACAGGCAGCCTAAGACAGGGATACACTAGAGGACGACATCAGTCCTCTCTTACCATCTGGTATGAGTTCAGTGTGTCCTAAACTTACATATGAAGAGCAGGCTCAGATTAAGGCATCAGTCTCATGTATGTGCTCACCACCACCCTGCCACACGCAGGGCAAAGGAGAAACACATACATTCAGCTCCCATGACTCAGCTGAGGTCCGTACCCCTGCGCCAATCATCACAGCCTGATTCATAACAAGTGTGTCTTGACCTGCCTGAGTTAGCAAACTGGAGCATCAAATGCTTCAGACACCAGCAGCACAGCAGGCCGTGTGCATGGCTCACTCCCAAGACCAGCGGAGGCGGCCAGCCTTCTTCAGCTTCTCCTGGGGGCAGTGAAGAGCCACTCTGGACTGACAACTGCACACTCAGATTAAGTTACTTCCTTGTGCTGAAGCCGTGCACAGTATACCCCTCACTCTCAGAGTTAACATTTACACCCAACCGGGACAACCCCTACGAAGCAGTCTTCTGCTGACTCCTCTGCTTTTGGAAAAATGAGCACGCATAGGGTTCCATTCACAAACACTAGAAATTAGTGTGGCACAGGGCAAAGATGGGCTCTGGTCAAGCCATGATTAGTACATCCTGGTAAATGCCACTCTCCTGAAAGCCAGTTCACGTTAAGCTGGGTGGTGGATGACCACTCACAAATACTTGTATAAATCAAATGCCCAAAGCACTTTCAAAAATAAAATTCTTTAGCCCTGGCCAGTGTGGCTCAGTTGGTTGGGTATGCACCAAAGGTTGCAGGTTCTAATCCTGGTTAGGGCACATGCTTCCGTTCTCACATCCATAATTCTCTCTCTCCTTCTCTCTTCCTCTCTAAAAATCAATTAAAAAAAAATCTTCAAAAAAATTATTTGATCACTTTAAGTGGATAAATGACTTACTTGCCCAGATACAGAAAACTAGGTCTTCTTTCAAGTCTGCATTGTAGTGTTTTTGGAAGTTCCCGTAGAAAACTCATTTGCCTCCTGATAAACTATACACTACAGGGCCAAACTTGAGAAACTATACTGTATACTGAACAGGGTAAATGTTCTCTGAGATCCAAGTACAAGTGTACACGTGTGGGACTGGACTCACCAGGCCTCCTGGGTCCTCCCAGCCCGTAAGAAGAGGACAGCTACACAGTTCAGAGCGCTGGCTGGCCAGTCAGGAGCAATCTGTCTGGCATCTTGACTCTCGTAAGTAGACCTGATGTCCGCGGCACAGTCAGCGAACGCCACCTGAAGCTGGGAGGCTGCAGGGTCAGCAGAACCGCTAACTGGTTTTATGAGAACTGAAGTTTAAGAGGCTCCAGCGGACCATTAACCATTTTGTGATGTGTTTTACCATCTGGGCACATCACACACGCAGGGCCCAAGTAATGCAGTAACAACAAAGCCTCCCGCCCTTGGGCAAACCACAGGCTTTCCTTTCAGATGGACGAGCTGCTGTCGTCAGGGCAGAAAGAAGCTACTTTCACGTTCCTTGCTTTGGACTACAGGTATGAGAGTGACTTTAGAAATGGCATTCTGCTAATGGTTTGATATCTTTACATGTATAATTCAAATCTGGGTTAGACGGCAGAGTTCTCCAGTGACAGATGGAACCAGGGAAGGCACCCCTCCAGGGCCCTTGGTGTTAGAGGACATGCTGTTAGTACACATCTGACAACACGAAACGAGTGTCGACACAACCTACCTCTGGTGGATGCCGATCCCTTGCCATGAGCATCAGAATCTCTTCCTTGAGGTCACTGCGAAAAGTGTGGCCATATTCTTTACTATCTTGAAACAAAAAAGGAACGTAGTGGAAGTGATCACCATCATGTGAAACCAGTCCTCTCGGTTTTACTGCCAGTCCTCAGCCACATTTTAGTGGGTACACGAAGTGCTGACCTGGCCCACTCCGGGTGTGTGTCAGGTCCCAGAAAACCTGACGACGTGGCAGAGTGGATGAAGAGCAGTGAGAGGCCTGCCTGCTTCCGGCCAAGTGTCACCACAGCAGGCACACTACACGTGAGCAGCACCAGCTCTAAGTGGCAGAACCCTGTTTTACAGCATCAGTGGCCTTTTAGACATAACCACTGGCACAGGTCTGTGAATTAGCAGGGCAGGGCTATAGTCTCAGATGTGGACACTTGAGGCGGAGAGAAACTATGATCAGTCATCTAGGGGAAAGGATACAGCATCTTCTGCAGGCAGTTTATACACATAACACACACACGTCAGGGCGGTTTCCTAGAAACCTAAGTATAACTGACCGGTTAGCAACTGAACCAGTGATGAAACATGGGAGAGTGGGACAGGGTTTGGGGTGTGAAACCTGCATTTACATTTAGGGGGTGCCACATAATTCACATTGGCTCTAATCTTCCATTTGTGTTATTACACAACAGGTGCCTAAAACCTCACCTTTTCCGGACGCTAAAGAACTAATTTAGGTCATTTTAAATACATTTATACTCATTCAATTTAATGTGTAGCATAAGTGACCCTGAGGCAGACCTCAATTAATATACTCAATTCAGTCAAAAATGGGAGTTTTCCTCCCTAACAATGTTAACATGTTTGTTGATCAAAACACAGGACAATGAAGCGAGATGGGCTGGGACAAGCAAGCTGAAACTGACCTTTCCAAACCTCAGGAATCATGTCTAGCCTGTTGGCCACATCCAATGCTTGGAGAAGATCTATCAATGTTTGGGAATGGGGAAAGAAGACCTGATTGAGAGAAAAACAAATACATTTAAAAATATATATCAGCACAAATACCAGAAGAAAAAGCCATGTACAGTGACGTGTAGTAATGAGTCATCTTACTGAAGGTATCAGGTCCTTATACCATTTCAAGGTCACATCAATCTGTTCCATGAGACATATCAAATTGAAGAACTTGGAACTGCAATGAAGGAAAAAGCATATTTAGTCTAAAATCCCTAACAATAGGGGATGATTGATTATAGCACAGTTCTATGAGGACATGTCACACAGAATTTAAAAACAAATAAAAAACAATTTCAAGTTACATGGGCCCAAGCTTCACCCCGGAGATGCTAGCTGCACTCTCTGGACTTCCAGTGACTGCCTTCTTATCGCCAACCGGCCGTTCATGACTGCCTCCTCAGCGTACTCTTGAACATGGTGAGGAGACAGCTAAGCATATTCACTTTAAAGCATTCAGTGTGAAGGATTTGGACACACAGAAGATAATTCCCACACACCTAGTAACAAGCTGACTCCTTACGTTCTTGTTTTTTTTTTTATCCTCACCCGAGAACATTTTTTCGTTTTTTGTTCAGATACAGTGGGAGGGAGAGAGAGGAAGAGAGAGAGAAACATCAACATGAAAGGGACACATCGAATGGTTGCCACCCGCACAACCTAACCAGGGCCAGGGACAAACTGCAACCGAGGTACGTGCCCTTAGCGGGAACCAAACCCGGGTCTCTCTGGACCGCAGGCCGACACTCTAACCCGCTGAGCCAAACAGGCCAGGGCTTACGTTCTTGTTTTTAGTTGCCTAAAAGCAAATCCATTTAAGAAGTCTCACTGTGCCCTGGCCGGGTGGCTCAGTTGGTTGGAGCATTGTCCTGTATACCAAAAGGTTGTGGGTTTGATCCTCGTTCAGGGCATATACAGGAGGCAACCGATCGATGTTTCTCTCTCTCTAAAATCAATAAAAACATATCCTTGGGTAAGGATTTAAAAAAAGAGAGGGAGACTATGATGAAATATTTACGGACCCTTGCTGCTATAAGTTTTAAAAATATAAAATAGGAGGTCATACAGAAAAAAAATGTGGAATAAGTGAGTTACAAAGAAACTCAGCGTGGCAGATCAGTTTTACCACAGCTTCAGCTTCCCAGGGCCCCATTAACTCGTACTGTTAAGTCAGGGCCACACGGCCTGGAATCAGAGGTGAAAGTGGAGGGCCACCAACAGCCTCCCATCAGCAGAGCAATGAGTGGCTGGAGAAAGGCGCTCCATCAATGCCAAACGATACATTTCCAACACACTTACTAATAGAAATTACGCCGATGATCAGGTCCAATGAATTTCCGGTTGTCTCCAGTGTTTAAAAGGCCGTGTACTTGGTAAGCAAGTTCTAGATCTTTGAGAGAGGAGCACTGAAAATTTGTAGGTAGTAAGCATCACTCTTAGAGATCCTTAACAGCCAAACAGCAGCTCATTACATAAAAAAAATAAGCGTAGTTACTTGTGGATATATTTATGCCAATTTCAGCATACTATTGGTTGACAGCAAATGAGATACAAGAACTTGGGGGACCCCAAAACAAACCCCCAAGTTCTGTGAAATTTAAAGCAAAAAGATTTTGATCTAGTAACTGGGTCACAAGCACAGACACAGATGGGTTGCGCACTCAGCATCAGGGTAAAAGCAAAAACCCCATGAAGTAACTCCAAACGCGCACAGGCCCAGAGCGCAGTACGCGCGGGCCCTCCCTCCCATGAAACGCGCTACTGCTTTACAAACACGGTGCCGAGAGGACGTGCCTGGTGTGCTGTCCGGGCACCCAATGGAAAAGCCTGGCGGGATACACAGTAAACTGTGAAGCAATGCTCCTCTGGGAGGATATGCTAATTCATTCTGAAGCTGCCTGAAATTTTTCCTACATTACCATAAAATAAAAAAAACAATTTAAAAACAGCTGCCATCAATTAAAAAGTTACCAATAAGCAACTATGAAATACAGTGATACCTTGGTTCTTGAACATAATTCGTTCCAGGAGGACGGTCGAGAAGCGAATTGTTCGAGAACCGAAGCAATGAAACCCAATAGGAAAGCGTGACTCCACAAAGCGTGACTCTCTCTCTGCACTCACACTGATGACGCAAGCAAGGCGCGCTGGGCCGAATGAACGCCATTCGGCTCAACTCGGCTCATCTCGGAAGTTCGAGTTCCAAATATTTGTTCGGATTCCGAGACAAAAGTTTCTCGAATCTCCTGGTCGAATACCGATTTGGTCGAAAACCGAGGCGTTCGAGAACCGAGGTATCACTGTACTCAAGGCAAAAGAATCAGGTAGAGGTCTCCCACCTGCTCTAAATTCAGACAAATTTAGGAAATGGATAAAAGGAAAACAAGAGTTAAATAACAAATGGTACTTACAACTCTCATGGCTGATTGAAAAAACATATCTGAAAATCAGAATTCATAAGTCATGGTTACTCTAGAGAAATTATGTTTTCAAGTCAGTAACATTAGTAAAAATCCTGGAAACAGTACTATTAATGTATAAGATAAACCTATAGGGATAAAAACTCAAGGGAGAGGAAGCACACAGCAAAGTGCAACAGACACCTTGGCTTTCCAGAATCACCTCCCAAAAGATGCCTAAGCTAAATGAAAGCCTGCCCTCCCCACGAGGCCTCCAATCACTGGCAGTCGGGAACAAGCTCTCTGCACATACCATCATCCGGGTCCCGGGGGGAAAACTTCTTTCCTATAATTTCGTTCATGATATCATAGATCACGGGGGATGAGCCTTTTGAAGGGCTTTCTGCAAATAAGAAAGCAAATGGGTTTGTCTCGAGTCCACTTCCTGCACCACCAGTCAAGCGCAAGGCACCAAGCACCAAGGGCCACATTCCTCTGACTCCAGCGCTAAGGCGGGCACGGCTGCCCAGGGCATACGCTTGCCAAGCGAACAAAGGCACCTACAGAGTGAAACTCTCCATCAGGTCTGGGACAGTCACGGGTCTCTGTCCCCGTGCTCCCAACAGAGACTCTTCCCGTCCTTCTCAGTCCGCTGTTTAGCACAGCGGCATGGTCCAGAGGAATGAAGAGGCTCTGGGGTCAGTTCTACTACAACATCAAGGATGAGTAAAACTTTTGAAGATACAATTATTGTGGAAACTGTTTCCAAGATAATGTCAGTTACCTGTTCCCCCACCCTAAAAGATTATCAAATTTATTTATAGGCGAGGATGTAGATTTTGTAAAATTAGCCCTCCAAAATACAATCAAGTTCTTCTGTTGTTTTTATATATAAAGTCTACTGCAGGAGAGAAGGACAAGAACTGTCATTTCTGAACCCAGGGTGTTCTTTCTCAAGTTGGGGCAAATGAGTAAGAACCAACAGACACAGTGCTTATGCTTACTATGTGCCCCCCAAACACAGGACTAACTACTGCGCAGAACTCATTTAATCATTACACCTGATGGTGTTACTCAGGTAAGGGATCCAGTCCGTTTGACAGAGCTGGTAAATGGGAGAGGTGAAATCTCAACTCAGGTGTGCCTTGCTCCAAAGTCCATTCAATGGAGCATAGCTCCCAACAGGAACTGGCTGACCTAAAACCAGGTGACAAATGGAGCCTCAAGATTCTCTCAAAAGACTTCAAAATAAGACCAAGGTTACTGGGGGGCAGCGCTGTCCAGCATCTTCCTGCAAAGCTGAAAATATTCTGTATCTGTATCGCTGCATAAACTAGCCAGCAGCCACTTGTGGCTACCGAGCACTAATGGAATTTTAAATTTGATTTAATTTTAACTAAACAGCCACACGTGGCAGTGGCTACTGCACTGAGAACAAAAGGAGCTCCAACTAAAGTACCTTCTAATGATTTCTAATTGTACACCAGCACTGTGAGCACTTAATGACCCCAGCCTTCCTGCTGGTTTTACATCACAAACAAGGTTACCACCTTCACGAATAAATTTTTGCTCAGACTGTCAATTAATCTGTGAATTCTCTATTCTTAATTCATATGCATGAAGGAAGCCTATAGCAATTAATCACATAAACTTAAGGGTGCTGATTTATTTTCTACATAACACACTATAACATAATGTCATACATACCATGTTGATAAAACAGCTGAATAATATAGTGGTATGTTGCAAGTGAGGGTTCTCAAATTATCAGGTGCATAGAAAAAAATAAGAAGTAAGTCAAACACAGGTTCTAAAATTGCATAGAAAAAAATAGAGTTTACTGAAGCACATTGAACTGCAAACATACTGACATTGGTATTTAAATAAATGATACATTTCTATTCCTTTGAACAGAGACATTTCCCAGATCATCTCATTAAGGTAAAGGTGGAAAGGCATCATAAAGACTGAATCACTGCTCTGGCCAGTTTGGCTCAGTTAAAGAGTGTTGGCCCTCTGACCAAAGGGTCTCTGGTTCAATTTCCAGATAAGGGCATGTACCTGGGTTGCAGGTTCGATCCCTGGCCCCCGCCGGGATCATGTGGGAGGCAACCAACTGATATGTCTCTCTCACATCGATGTTTCTTTCTCTCTCTCTCTCTCTCCCTACCTCCCTACTTCCCACTCTAAAAAAAAAAAAAAAAAAAAATCAAGGGAAAAATATCCTGGGGTGAGGTTTAACCAAAAATATAAATTAAATTAAAATTAAAAAACAATGAATCACGTTGAGAGAGCCGAGACACGTATTACAAAACTGTTACATCTAATTTACTGATATTATAATCCTTCATTTAATAACACTAAAGCACACAGGTATGAATTGATTCTCAAAACAACTTTCAATAAAGTAATTATTGAAAAGTATTAGCACACACTTAGGTTCAAACACCTAATTATGCTAGAAAATTTCATGGGATTTAAAACTATCTGACTGTAAGTGGACAATTCTCAGAATCAAGAGATCCATAATAAAGTACTTAAAACACCAAAAGAACATTGCCGTTTGCTACAAGGAGCATGAGGACATAAAGGCGCTGCCACACACATTAGCTGTGCCAAGTGGAAGGGAATTCCCTAAATACTATGTAAATAGGGAGAAAGAACTGAGTCTCTTTTTTGCTCGTCTGGACCTGGAACTTCTGGTCGCACCGTCTCGGTTACTGGGATGCACCTCACCTATTCCGATGGCTTTCATCTCACGTAAGGTCTGCAATGCTGGCAGTCTTCCGAATGCATAAAATCTCCTGAGACATTTCAGAATGGTATTAAAAGTCTGTAGATTTGGTTTCACCTTCTGTGCAACCATTTGTTTCAGCAGCTCCTAGTCAAATTAAAAACAAGAAGTATTTTTAGAGTCTGGGTAGATAATCTGTCCAACAAAGAAATATATACTGCCCAGCTGGTGTGGCTCAGTGTCTGAACATCGTCTCATGGACTGAGGTCCCGGTTCAATTCACGTCAATTCCCGGTCAGGGCACATGCCCAGGTTGTGGGCTCCATCCCCACTGGGCGGCGTACAGGAGGCAGCCTACTGATATTTCTCTCTCACATTGATGTTTCCATCTCTCTCCCCCTTCCTCTCTCTCTAAAAAAAACCCAATAAAAACATATTAAAAGATATTATATACAACAAAGAACTTGGCTCTCTGGCTATACTTAAAGCAGATTAATATAAACCTAATTTAAGGATTACCTATTAATTAGTAAGACCAGTGACTGCCTTTTAGATGCCCCACCTCCACCTGATCAAGGTGTCCAACTGTCTTCAGCCCTCTGCCTAGGTAGTCTAAGACTCAAGCAAAAGAGCAGACTAAAATGGTCATGCGTTTTTCCTTTTTTATTTTTTTTATTTATTTTTTTTTTTTATCCTCACCCGAGGACACTTTTTCATTCTTTGTTCAGATAGAGCAGGAGGGAGAGAGAGAGAGAAACATCGATGTGAAAGGGACACATCGAGTGGCTGCCACCCGCACGACCAACCAGGGCCGGGGACAAACTGCAACCGAGGTACATGCCCTTAGCGGGAACCGAACCCGGGTCTCTCCGGACCGCAGGCCAACGCTCCAACCGCTGAGCCAAACCGGCCAGGGCTGTTTTTCCTTTTTTAAATGAGTTGTATGGTATAAAACATGTTTCTATTCCTAAGTTACTTCAACTCAGCAATTTCAATTTCGTTAAACTTACCTGATAATAATTTTTCAACAAACATGCATTATGTTTATAGTAAAAAACCTGTAACAAGACCTGGCCGGTTTGGCTCAGCAGGCAAAGTACTGGCTCTCGGACCAAAGGGTCCCGTGTTCAATTTTTAGTAAAGGGCCTGTGCTCTCTCCCCCCCCCCCCCCCTTTCATTCTATCTAAAAATCAATGGAAAAAATATCCTCGGATGAAGATTAACAACAACAACAAAAAAACCTGTTATGATAAAAAACAAATAAAGCAACTAAGCCTTCCTGAATCTAGCTGTACACTCTGAGCTGAGTAACTTTCTTCTCACATGCCAGACACAGCGACTTAGATTACAGGGTTGCCAGGAGAGCGTAAACGGGTAGCCAGCATCTAAGAGCCAGCACAGCGACTGCCATGAAGATGCTCAGTGAACGCTACCTCCATCCCATGCATTTCTAGCCTTTCAAAAAAGACACAAGGGTTCCTCCTTACCAATATATTATTCCATTTTTCGTCAAATTTCTCACTCATCATTGCTGTTGCTTCAATCAATGAATTGAAGGTGTATACATCAGCTGTAAAAGAAAAAAACGACTTTAACAAAATTTGGGGGTGAAGATGAAGCCCTACATGACTCAGTATAAGGTACAGTGTTCATGCGCACGTGGCTTCTGGCTCATTACATGCCCACAAAAGCAGAAACCACTCTTTTCTGGCTCTCTACTCCTGTGTCAATCATCAAGACCACAGGTCAAGATTAACAGTGAGCCAAGGATGCCCAGCCGGTGGGGCTCAGTGGATTGAGCATCATCCCACGGACTGGGAGGTTTTAGTTTGATTCCGGGTCAGGGCACATGCCAGGGTTATGGGCTCGATCTCCAGTGGGGCCATGCAGGAGGCAGCCAATGGATGTTTCTATCTCTCTCTCCCTTCCTCTCTCTCTAAACAAATAACAACATATTTAAAAATAAATAAATTAAAAAAAGAAAAGTGAGCCAATAATTGAAGCAAAATCCAAACATTTTACAGATTCTTGAGAGAAGGTAAGTAGAGGAGAGTTCACCAAACACTGACCACGGAGTCTGTTGTTTAATAATTCGGTGTACAAGTTTAATGCCTGCACAGGAGCTCGGTGCTAGAAGAGAAAAAAATAAAAATAAAACATCATCAAATGTGTTCATTTAAGAAATATTTACATATCTCCTGTCCTAAGGTCTGGGAATACAACGATAAAACAGACAAGGTTCTAGTTCTCATGAAGTTTATGCCAGTGCAGCGGTTCTTTAGAAGGGCAATTTGCTTCCCAGGTGACATTCGGGTAATGCCTGCGGACCTTTTAGTTGTCTTAAGTGAGGGGTGAGAAGAGGGCGTGCTCTGGCATGCAGTGGAGGCCAAGGAGCTACTGAACACCCTACGACAATGCACTGGACAGGCCCAAATGGCAACAGTTGTGAGACTGAGAAACCCTGATTTAGCAGAAACTAAAGATAAAAATATGAAAATAGCCTGGCGGGTGTGGCTCAGTGGATGGAGCATCGTCCCGTGGACTGAGAGGTCCTGGTTCAATTCCTGGTCAGGGCACATGCCCGGGTTGCAGGCTCGATCCCTGGGGGTGGGGTGGAGGTGAGGGGCGTGCAGGAGGCAGTCAATGGATGTTTCTCTCTCACATCGATGTGTCTATCTCACTCTCCCTTCCACTCTCTCTGAGAAATCAATAAAAACATTAAAAAAAAAGAAAACATGTTACCTTCACCATTCCTCGGATCATTGTGCAGTAGGAATATGCATTTTTTTCTGGCATCAGAGCAAAGATTCTCTCAGCATTGTTTTTTGCTCTAGACACAAGAGAGTAAGTGTGAACCAAGGGAGAAATGAAAAGCAAATGATAGCTACTACAATTATACTGAGAGTTCACATTGTTCCCGGGACTGTGCCGAGCACTTTATGCATATAATTTAACACAATTCTTGCCCTGGCCAGTTTGGCTGCATGGTACCGAAGGGTCTTGGGTTCAATTCCTGTTAAAAGGCACATACCTGGATTGCAGATCTGATCCCTAGCCCCGGTCAGTGTTGTGCGGGAGGCAACCAATTGATATCTCGTTCATGTTGATGTCTCTCTCTCATGTTGATGTCTCTCTCTCTCTCTCTCCCTCCCTCCCTCCCTCCCTTCCCTTCCACTATATCTAAAATACATTTAAAAAATGAAATAATTCTTACTATGCAGAGATGGAGATATGGTTATCATCATTTCGAAAATGAGAAAAACTGAGGCTCAAAGACCTTAAAAGTTGTCTAAGGCTTTGCAGTTAAGTGGCAGAACCAAGATGAAAATGGAGTTTTTATGAATAAGTAATATGTAGTCATGTTGCCACATGAAATTTTCGTTAGTGACAGACTGCTTTTATTAGTGGTCTCAAAAGATAATGGAGCTGAAAAAAATCCTATCACCTAGTGGCAATGCAGCACACGCATTACTCCCGTGTGTGGGGATGCTGGAGTGCACAAACCTGCGTGCCAGTGAGCACGCACAAACAACTACATACAGGAGGGGGCTAGAGCACTCTGTGATGTTCGCTCAAGGATGAAATCACCTAACGAAGCATTTCTCTGAAGATATCCCCACTGGTAAGTGGCATATGACTGAATATTCAAGGTAAAAGCAACCTGTGAAAGTGTCCACAGTGAAGTTTCCCCGTCCTCCTTCATCAGGTACAATTCCCCAAAGGCATCCACAAACAAGCAGTTTCTCCTGAATCTTTTCAGTCCTGATACTGCACATGTACAGGTTATATTCTATCTAGTGTATCTACTCTCTTTTAGGAAAAAAAACCCCAAAAGGTACCATGTTATACAAATTATGGTATACCTCAACTCTCCCTCTTGCAAAAAAAAAAATTAGGATTTGAGCCAGCAAGTCATTCCAAAGTCCATGCTCTTAACTACTAGGTGAAGTTATCCAAATCTATTAAAGATATTTAATCTGTAACTTAATTCAATTTATCACTTCAAAGGAGACTTTAGACATTAATGGTAGCTTTCCTTCTCCAGACATCCACATAAAATACTGTTTTTATTCAGGCACTTCTATTCAGCTAATTTAAATTCTCAAATGCTAAATGTTATTCACCTTTGTTTGAAAGTGAACTATATTCTGGTATGTGTGTATTCTTATGCACACAAAAATACTGAATCTTTCAGAACTGAGGTCTACAATGCAGATACAACTACTAAAGAACTACCAAAGAACCATATTCTGAGAAGACTACATGGAGTTACAAGGTGAGGGGTAGGGCAAGTGTAAACATCATAGGTAAAGATCTTATAGAAACAGATCATCGTGCACGTGAATACCACCTAGGACATTGACATTTGTACACTAAAAACAAATTCTAGTTCAGAACATTAAAGGATCATATCAAGCCCAGCCGGTGTGGCTCAGTGGTGGAACATTGACAAATGCATCAAGAGGTCACCAGTTCAATTCCCAGTCAGGGCATATGCCCAGGCTGTGGGCCTGATCCCCAGTGGGGGGCATGCAGGAGGCGGCCAATCGATGTTCTCTCTCATTGATGTTTCTATCTCTCTCTCCCTTCTCCCTTTCTCTCTCTCTAATACCAATAAAGAATTAAATTAATACCAAAAAAAATTAAAGGATCATATCTTCTTTAGGGGGTGATGAGGAATATTCCACATACTGTAGAAAACTATAATATAAAGTTCTAATAATGTGTAACACACCTCCAAGTAACTCCAAACTGATGACCAGCCTTCTTCCTAGATTTCCCCTTGTTTTCCTCTGCGGCCTCTTCCTGTAATGAACCATCAACAAAAATAAAACAGAAGATGACAACAAAATGCATTCTCCTAAATAAGACTACTCAAAACCAGGAAGGCTGAAGTGGGCCTTTAAAGCAACAAACGACCTGGAGAACAATGAAACCAGTGCCCTGCATGCAGCCCAGACAGAAACTGGAAACCCAAACACCTCAGCCTGTCCCCTCAGAGGACACATCTGCGTGATCCATACGGAAGTCCTGTTCCTCATTAGAGTGGAAGCAAGAGAACATGACATGCCTGGGTATGGAACATAGCTAATGTCTAATACTAACCCAACACAGCTAAAATTCTTTTTAAAAAATATTATATTTTGCCCTTTAATATAAAAGAAGCTCTGGTGTGGAGCAAGAAGGCTGGTTGGAATTGCACAGGGCAGTACTGGCCCTGTAGCTGGGGCTGGAGGGGCAGAAGGCCAGTCAGTCCCGGGGAATCTAGAAGATACCCTGGAAGACAAGGTAGGGTTACAACCCACTACCTATGTTCTTTAAGACTTATTCTGTACATAAATAACCCATGTTGAGTGGAGAAAAATTGGGGGAAAAAAACAAAACAAAAAACATCCATGATTCATCAACCAGAGAAAAACACCAAATTAAAAAAAATTTCCCATTTATATATATATGAAAACTTTTTAATAGAAATGGAATATATATTGGTATCTAGCCTATTTTCCTATATATCAATTATCTTTCCATACCCAGACTACATTAGTACTTTCAATCACCATTACCATAATTCAGTCACCCACTATTAGACATGTAGTTTGTTTCCAACATTTTTGCAATTAGAGGCATTGACACATGATGAAAAATGTCCCATGTGCATCCCATGAGCCAAGTTTCGTTGGGATCTTTTTCTGAAGTCACATGCTTAGGTTGAGCAGCTATGACTCAGTACTGATAGGCCAGCCTCTGGCACAATACTGCTCCGTACCCCAACAGAGTATGCACGCTCCTGTATGAACTTTTTAGGGTGCTGTGGCCAGAAAGTCTTTCCTGTCTGCTACATATTATACCGTCACTGTAAGGAACAACATAGAGGTATGCAAACATTTTTGGTCACAGCTTTGCCTGCATGTGGTAGGCAAGGTCAAAATATTTTTAAAGAAAAGGTTACAACAACTGTTTGTATCTGTCCCTTCCTCCACACCACTATGTATCAAAGCTACTGTACCTCACACTTCAGAACAAATCTCTACTACCCTAACACATGACACAAGAACCCGCCTTACTCTGAGGTGTTACTACCAAAAGAAACCTTAAAATTTATTGCCAAAAGCCATTACCAACTCCTCTGATTTTTCCCTTTGTTGAAAATGATAATCAGCCGAGGGCTCTTGGTCACCATAGTAACACAATAAATCCAAGAGATTATTAGTTGTTCCCAGAGATACAGTGGTTCCTGTGAATAGAAGAGAAAAAGGGAAAGAAACCTTGAAACATCAAAGAGCTAAAGCCCATTAGATACAATTCTTCACTTTTTCTATGAGCTATGGCTTTTCTGGCAACATATGTAATATTTAGTATCGTCCACTTCAGAACTATTCCACTTGGATCCAGTCCCTCATTAAAATACTAGCCCAGAAATAGTAGCATAAATGTCTAATTATAATAATCTCTTAAAAATTGTTGCTCCTGCCCTGGACAGTCTTGCTCAGTGGTTAGAGTGACAGCCCCCAGACTAAAGAGTCATGGGTTCGATTCTGATCAAGGGCATGTACCTCAGTTGGGGTTTGATCCTGACCCTGAACAGGGTCATGCAGGAGGCAACCAATCGATGTTTCTTTCTCTCTCTCTCTCTCTCTCTCTCCCTCCTTCCCACTCTACCTGAAAAATCAATGGAAAAAAATTCTCGGGTGAAGATTAAAAAAAAGAGTAACTGCATTTTTCTAGAGAAAATATGCTAATAAAAATGACCACCAAGAAATTTAAGAGCCCAGAAAAGATAGCATAGCAGAATTGACAGGACACAGCTAAGGAGTGTGATCTGACTAAGTCTTATACTGCAAACTGTGTGACCCTGACAATTTTCTTAATGGGTTAATGTTAACTAAATAGGAATACTTATAATACAATATAAAATCTTATTACATAGCCCTGGTGGTTCAATGATTGGAGTTCTGGCCCATGGACCAAAAGGTTGCAGGTTTGATTCTGGTCAAGGGCATGTACCTGGGTGGCAAGCTCAAACCCCAGTTGGGGTCATGCAGAGGCAATCAATTGATGTATTTCACATTGATGTGTGTCTTTCCCCATCTCTTTCGGTATCCTCTTCCCTCCCACCCTTCCTTCCATTCTATCTAAAGATCAATAGAAAAATACCCTTGGGTGAGGATTAACAAAAACAAACAAACAATCTTATTACATAATTACAAAACATTACATAAATAACAATCCATAGAAAATATAGAATTATAATATATACCAATCATATAAAGTTAATGTAAATAATACCAACTAAATACTACTTAATATTTTTTCTTTTACAAGGTGACAATACAACAGCAGCTCATAAGATGTTATAGAATTAAAATAAATATGCAAAAATGTCTATTAACGTGCTTGGCACTTATTAGAGGATTGATAATAAACTTTTCTATGATATCTACCCTGGTATGTTGGCTCATTTTGTTATTCTGAGCTTTGTGTGTCACACTTTTTATTTATTTTTATTTTTTATTGATGTTAGAAAGAGAGAGGAAGAGAGACAGAAATATCGATGAGAGAGCATCGACTGGCCACCTCCTGCAGCCCCCACTGGCATCGGGCCCATAACCTGAGCATGTGCCCTGACTGGGAACTGAACTGGCGACCTCTTGGTGCATGGGTCGACACTCAACCACTGAGCCACACTGGCCGGGTGGGTCTCACACTATTTAGAAATGTTTACTGCATGTCTGCCTGTGCCTACACTACACAGCATATATAACTAGAGAAAGACAAGTATTAGCACTAAGAACAAGAACTTTAATACACACTTGGCTGATATTTATCATAATTAACAAGCAAAGGGAAAAGCCTCCCTAAATGATCATCTGTACCAGCTAATCATTTGTACATCCAATGCTGTAACAAGCTACATACCAAAATTCTCAGATCAAACATAGCTTTCTACAAATACTTCTTGTGTTCAAGGCTGTATTGAGTGATTCAGTCCGGTTTCTATCTCTTCTATGTTTGGTTAAATTTGTTTAAAATAGGTTTTTACTGATTTTAAACAAAGAAGAAGGGAGAGGGAGAAAGAGACAGAAACACCAATCAGCTGCCTTTTGCACGACCCCTACTGGGGATTGAGCCCAAAACCCAAGCATTTATCCTGACCAGGAATTGAACCAGTACCCTTTGGTGCATGGGATGATGCTCAACCAAGTCACAACAGCCAGGGCTATGTCTGGTTGATTTTTATACTACATCACTGAACAGTACTCCAGACTCCATAAACTTTAAAACAATATACCCCCAGAGACTCATTCATCCACATCAAATTCAGAGAGCTACGGAGAGAAGCTCTGAGGAATTAAGTGACTTTTCAAAGGCCAGAGTTAATCTGTGTCAAAACCAGAGCCAGTATCCAAGCCTCTAACAGCTTACTGATCTTTCCTTTTAAAATTATTTATTTCTTGTCTGTTTTATGTCTTCTAAACATATTTAAAGAATACAGAAAATCTGAATATAGTATGCACAGCCTTTAGGTTAAAAAAGGAAGCTAAGGGAGAATAACTATATAAATTCTCCACCTGTGAGACAGCTCAAGTACACAAAAAACTAACAAAGCTGCCCTTCTATCTCACCTGTAATTTTAAAGTGAAGCTAAAGCAGAACTTAAAACATTATTTACTAAACTAATAAAAATATAAACAACCAGTGTAAGTACAATAACAACTGTAACTCTTACTCACAACTACTGGGATCATATACCTGTTGCCCACTTCTAAGCGCATGTTCCTAGGGGGGCTTTAAATGAACTTAAGTCACCTGCTTGCAAGAGTTGATCAAACATGTCCACTGAAGCTTTGACTTTTTTTAGCTTGATTCGTTCCTTTAGGGCAGCCTCGCTTACATCTTCGATCTGAGGTTCCAAGTGCTCAGGCACCAAACACTGGAAAACAAGATGGCTGGAGTTACTACAAACAGGTAAAGGTAAAAGCATAATGAAGTAGGACAACATTTTTATCACCAGCACACCAAAATAAAATGTCACTTCTCCAATTACATTTCATGCACCAAATACTATTTATCATTTTAACATGAATGTCTGTAGGAAATACAACTTTTAAAGCCTGGCCGGTGTGGCTCACTGGTTGAGCATCAAACCATGCACTAGGAGGTCCCTGGTTTTTTTTTTTTTTTTTTTTTATCCTCACCTGAGGACATTTTTCCATCTTTTGTTCAGGTAGAGTGAGGAACAGAGAGAAAGAAACATCGATATGAAAGGAACACATCGAGTAGCTGCCACCCACACGACCGACCAGGGCCGGGGACAAACTGCAACCGAGGTACATGCCCTTAGCAGGAACCGAACCCGGGTCCCTCCGGACGGCAGGCCGACGCTCTAACCGCTGAGCCAAACTGGCCAGGGCTGAGGTCCCTGGTTTGATTCCTGGTCAGGGCACATGCCCATGTTGTGGGCCAGATCCCCAATGGGGGGGCGTGCAGGAGGTGGCCAATTGATGTTCTCTCTCATCAGAGTTTCTATCTCTCTCCCTCTCCCTTCCCCTCTCTCTGAAATCAACAGAAAAGGAACCTCCCTCCCCCAAAACACAACCCTCTCAAGTCCCTGAAAACAAGACTATTTAGCTATCTACTAGCTTGGAGAGAACTATTTAAAAGCACCTAAACCTAAATATCTAATCCACATCCAAGAATCCTACTTTCAACTAAATTTCTCAAATTCAAGCTGAACTTATTATTTTCCCCTGCTAAAATCACCCTTTCTCCTTTCCTCCCCAATCCTGGTTAACAATCAGAGAACACTTGGTTTCCAAAGGCAAAAACCTCTCATCCTCAATGCTTTCTATTACTTTAAACATTCAGTATCACCAAGGTATGCTGATTTTACCCTAGTCAGCATTTCATTCAAGTACTTATTGAATGCTTACTACTGTACATCTTACTACTTACTACTGTACATGGGGATACACAGACGAAAGTCATTCTCTATCCTCAAGGGGCTCACAATCCAACGGAGAAAGCAAGTAAGGAAATAACTGTGATACTGTGTGAATGGTAAACGACATAAGAGCTCTCAGAGGTGTGAGCATGCTGTCCACCGTGGAGACAGGGGACCACAGAAAGCTTCACGCAGAAGTGAGCTAAGCACAGAAGAGTAACAGTTGATCAAAAACATAAAGGGGAAAGGGTGGGCCAACAAATGATCAGTCCATAGCTGCCACTGTCTTAGTTCAGGATTCTGACCTACACAATTGCACTGGCTTCCTAATTTGTCTCTAAGACCTGCAGCCTGAGAAGCAGGAGGGCTGTGTTTGGGCATGTGTTTTGAGAAGCAGGGAGACATGACAGGGAGCGCTTTGGGACACAAAGAGTCCGAGGTTATATTTCTACTAAAAAATTCAGTAGAGCAGAGGCACATCTGTGTTGCTCACCACTGTACTGACAACACTAAGCACACTGTCTAACATACAGCAGACAGACAAACGCCAAAGAAAGTATAAAGGTTGAAGCAAGAAGAGTGTAGACAGGAAAAACAGAAAATGACTAAACATGGAAACCAGAGAAAGACGTTAATGCTTAAGGAGTGGGTGGAAAAGCTATGGGAGGAAACTGAAAAGAACAGTCATATCGGTAGAGATCTGAAAGTTGGGTGTCACAGAAGGCAAATGGGGAAAATAAGATGAGCAGCAAATACATAAAGAGTTAAAAAAGCAAAAAAAAAAAAAAAAAAAGGTTAGCATTGTGAGCATATATAACTACACATTAAAAGACTTTTTACCTAAATATTGAGGGCATTCAAATGGCTCCTCAAATATTAGCCATGAAAGCTTGGTTAAAATGTTCTTTGGTGTTTTTTTTTTTTTTTAATGGGGGGAAGAGAGAGAAAAACATCGACGTGAGAAACATGGACTGGTTGCCACCCACATGACCCCAATCGGGGCCAGAGACAAACTGCAACCGAGGTACGTGCCCCTAGCAGGAACCAAACCTGCGACTCTCCAGTCCGTGGGCCGATGCTCCAATCACTGAGCCAAACCAGCCAGGGCAGTTAAAATGTTTTTAATTGAACTTTTTTTTTTTTTTAAATGGGAGGAGGGCGAGAGAGAAACATCGATGTGAGCATGAAACATCATTGGTTGCCATCTGCACACACCCTGACCAGGGACCGAACCGGCAATCTAGGTATGTGCCTTGATCGGAAATTGAACCTACAACATTTCAGTGTAGGGGACAACGGTCCAACCAACTGAGCCACACTGGCCAGGGCAAGCTTGGCTAAATTTACATTTATATAGTATTAAGTGAAAATTGCAATTACCTCTCCTTACCGGTATATGAGGTTCAGCTATGTCTTTCTGAAAATATTTGGGATATAAATTAATAATAAACTTTGCTGCATTCTCCCCGGACTTCTTTGCCAATAAAAATGAACGCTATATAAAGAAAAACATTCAGATATAAATTGGTATTTACATGTAATTTAGATTCAAGAGATCAAAGTCACATCCTTAGCAAGAATTATTATTCTTCCCCTTAAAAAGGAGTACAATAAATACACATAATCCCCATTAGAAGTTAAATTACATAATACACATCCACCTCTGCTGAGTGTGACATAGTTTCAGGCCATGTCTTATATACGTACTGAAGTACATAAACACAATGCATTGAACTGAGTGGATGGCTCCAGTGTGAAAGAGTCTAAATGTTAAAAACCAAAACCAATCCTCTGCCCCAGCTAATCTCTAAAACTTGTTGATGAAAGCAGTAAAGGAGTCAAAAAGTTTACCAATGTAGGTTTTTACAACTAACTTAAACTACATATGCACTCCTGTACCCAAACCAGCAAGGTGAAACATAATACCATAAAAGTAACACAAAAGTACTCACTGATTCCGCAGAGGTTGTTGGTATGAGATAAGGATCATCTTGAAATGCATAAGGGGCAGCTGTGGTATCCTGTAGAGAAGACAAAGAAAGAAGTCTCTTTAGCTAGATTTTTATTAAAAGGACCTGACCCTGTGAGTTTCAGTGATGCCCAAAAAGTCTATAAATTTTAATTATGTATGAAACACAATGTAGAAATAATGTATGTACATATGTATTTGTATAGTGTGTGTGTGAGTGTGTGTGTGTGTGTAGAGAGAGACTAACACCTAATGTTCTCAGCTCTACAAGACCTGGTTATAACCACACACAACTTAAAGCAAACACTGGCTCAAACCCCTACGATTGCCTAAGATTCGAGTCTGCTATCAATTGGGGCTATTGTTTTAAACTCTAGGTAAAGATCCTCTAAATTAACTAGTCTTGACACCAGTTCCCCACACGAGTATATCCTTCACTAACCATTCAAAGTCTCTTCTCCAAATGGAGGGCCCTCTCAGGTGGAACAAGGAGCAGCTCTCTGTGTCCTCCTGTCCAAGGTTCTGTACTTCCTTCCACTCCAGCACCACCAGGGGTTCACTCAGAACTGCTCCCAAATTACTTCCTCTATTTCTCTCCCCCAGGGAGCATCCTTTCCCAGGCCTTATAGAACCTTTGTTACCAGAGACAAATATTCACCCTATATCCCGAACTTTCTGATTGTCCCTTGATGCCTTTGTCTTACTGAAACGGATTCTCTGAGGGCTGGGATGGGAAGAGCTGGGGAGCTTCCCTGCAGCTTTCAAAGAACAGCTGCTCATACAAAGGGCCTGAAGGCAATACTTTTGGGTGCTCCTAGCTTCCTGCTGCCACTTTCAAAACCCATATTCCTTCCCACTCCTCACTTGGGGCACTCAAATTCCACTTGGCTCTGGCACTCTATCACAATGAGGTGGGCATGCAATGGCAAACCAGAGGGAGCAGTTCCAGGTCTGCTGCCCTGGACTACCCTGACTGCACTCAAACTGTTGCCTGGCACTGGCTCTGATCCTTTCCAGCACCCTTATTAAAGTGCTGTTCAGGGCCTCTAGTTTTGGTGACATGCTCAATGTCTTTAGCTTACTAGATTTAATCTTCCTATTTGTCTCTCAATTTTCCTCACCCAGTGATTTCCAAGTCCTTCATGGTCTCTGAGAAACAACTCCATTTTGGCCCTGTAGCTCAAGATACCTCAAACCAGATGTAGCCCCAAATGAACTTCCCTGACATAGTTCCTGCCCTTACTGAATGGTACATGGCACTGACCACTGCAGTCCAATCCTAAGAGCTCCCATTCCTTCCATTCAACTAACCTGTCACCAGGCCCAGCCAACTCCAGCTCCTTAATATCCTGTCTGCTCCACAGTCCCTTATCCCAACTGCCACTGCCTCAGTTTAGTGCCTTCCTTAGTCATTCATTCAATAGTTATTGAGCACCTCATATGTGCCAAGCATTGTTCTACCGGGGAGATGATAAAAATCTCACTCCTTCATAGAGCTTACAATCTAGTGGGGGTGAAAATCTCCAGAAACGAAACACAGTAAGTATCAGAAAATGACATATGCAATTTCAAATGGCGTGGTCAGAGGCCTCACTGAAAAGGTTATATTTAAGCAAGGACTTTAAGAGATTAGGGGACAAGTTATGTGGATATCTCAGGGGAAAACACTGTAGGCAGAGGAACAGTAGATGTTAAAGCTCCAAGGCAGATGCATGCCTGCTGAGAAACGGAGAATCAGACAGAAGGCAGCATGGTTACAGCAATGAGTGAGGAAGACAGAACATATGGGCAGAGATAACATGTGTGGGGAAATCACCTAGGGCCTTAGGAGCCCTCGGATGGACTTCAGTTTCTATCCTAGTTATGGGTTCTTTGAGGAGTGCTGTGACCTACCATTTCAGCAGGGTCGCTCCAGTTGCTTAACTGAGGACAGTCTGTAGGGTGCTAAGGAAGTGAAGGTGAGGGACAGAGCCTGTATTAATTAATCCAGGATATTAAGAGATGATGGTGGCTTAGATTACCAAGGTGATCATGGTGGTGACAAGTGCTCAGAGTCTAGGTATCGTGCAGAAAAGAATTATGAAGCCTGAGACTGCTATTCTCAGAAAGGTCTGCTTGCAGGGCTGATTCTTGGCTGGCAGCTGGGAATCTGGATTTCGGAAGGGTTCCCACCACTCCCAGGACTGGTAAGAATGGGCCTGAACTGTTTGTACAATGTAGTTTATGCCAAACTGCTTTCTTTCTGGGAGTCTGGGATTTGGCATGTGCCAGGGAGAGGTGACTAAGTGACCAGCCTCCAGAAACTGAGTCCCCAGCGAGCTTTCCTGGCAGACACTCCACATATGTCATCACAACTCTGCTGAAGGAATTAAGCAAATCCTGCGCCGACTCTGCAGGGAAAAGACCTTGGAGCCTTGCACCTGGTTTCCTCTGGGCTTTATCCAAGTACCTGTCACTGTAGTAACACACGGCTGCCGGAGTACATGCTAATTTCTCTAAGTACCCCTAGCAAAACACTGAACCTAGGAGTGGTCTTGGGGACTCCACTGACATGCATTTTGAAGGAACAAACCCAGGATTTACTAATGTGTAGCCTGAGAGACAGAGGAATGAAAGATGTCCCCCAAAATTTAGCATGACCAACTTTAAGGATGGAGCTGCCATTAACAAGATGGCAAAGAAATATGTGAGGTAGTTTGGAGGGAAAGGGGTTTGGCTTGGAGATGTTCATTTTAAGATGTTTAGTATACATTCAAGTGGAAAGGTTTCCAGACTCTACATTGCTATCTTTCCTAAAATGTGCCTAATGCGTCCAACCAGTGTGGCTCAGTGGTTGAACATCGACCCATGCACCAAGAGATTGCTGGTTCAATTCCCGGTCAGGACACATGCCCATGTTGTGGGTCTGATCCCCAGTGGGGGGCATGCAGGAGGCGGCCAATCCATGTTCTCTCTCATCAATGTTTCTCTCTCTCTCTGCCTCTCCCTTCTTCTCTCTAAAATCAATTTAAAAAAAAAAATTGTCTGATGCCTTACCACTGCTTAAAATTCCTGAATGGACTTAGATAAAAATCAGAAGTCACAAGAATAGCATTCATGATTTTGCCTCATCTCTCATTTCTCTATCCCACAAATTCTTGATTCCCACCATACAAATCCATGCTATGCCTCTGTGCCTCTGCCAGAGACGCTCTTTCCCACCACTGCATCCTCGCTGCTCACTGTGCAGCACCAATCCAATGATCACTTCCCCTGGAAACCCGTCCCAGTCTTGGTTCCGTACACTCTGCTCAGTGCTCCTTCAGCGCCCCTCTCTAGAAACCATGCAAGTACTGTCTTCATTCTACAACCACCAGCACAGTCCTGGTGAGCATCGCAAGGGGTTACTGAATGAATAAATGACTAGCCCTTGGATTTTAAGAATCCCAACTCAGACAATTGCACCCACAAGTCTATAACTTCTGGGTCATTCTCATTAAAAAACTCAGAGGCCCATTTCTCTAGCTTACTTTTCAGGTGCCTTTTTATGGGTGAGTGATTGGAAACCTCAATGTCTTGCCAGGGGAGAGATGCAGTCTTTAAAACCCTTCTTCAGAAACTGCTAGGGTATATCAGTGCATATTTGGCCCAACACCCCATTAGGTTTAACATCAACAACAGAAAAACAATTCTGGAAACCTGTGATAACCACCTTAAGGAGGGTCAGTATCCACGTAGACAGTGTGGCAACAGAAAGGACTTAATTCCTTTAGATAATTTCCCCACAGCTGAAATTAAAAGTATAGTTCCCAGCTAATGAAAAATACAATCAAAGTTCTGTTTGTGAGGTATTTACTAAGGTTTCAGTTTATTAGACTACCAGCTCTATTTCTGAATTGTCAACGAAGCCTATTATTGACAGTAAACCACTAAGGTAGTTGCAGTAAGAATACAAAAGGTAGCATTTACTGAGCATTTCCTTTGTGCCGGGCACTACTCTAAACCCTTTCACATATACTAACTTACTTCCCACCAACACCTTGAGGTTTGGTGCTATAACAATCCTCATTTTATAGATAAGGGAACAGAAGCACCAAGAAAGAGATAAAGTAACTCTGTGATAAAGATCACAAGCTAGTTACTCTGGCTTCAGGACCCATTTTTTTTTTAAATCCTCACTCGAGGATAATTTTTTTCTATTTATCTTCAGATAAGAGTGGGAGGGAGGAAGAGAGAGAAGCACTGACTGGTTGTCTCCCCCATGACCCAGACCAGGGCCGGAGACAACTACAACCAAGGTCTGTGCCCTTGACTAGAATAGAATCTGCGACTCACTGGTCCTCAGGGTGACGTTCTAACTGCTAAGCCAAACTGGCCAGGGCAGGACCCACATTCTTAATCACTTTTTTTTTCTTCCAGCATGACAGGTACGCTGTTGTTGAGTTGGTCTACAGATCACTTCCCTTATAGCATCACACCCAAACTATCCCCAGATACATGCATTTCAACAAGCTCTTCAGAGGATTAGTTTAACGATCACTAGTATAGCATAAAAACACTAAAACTGGAGACAAAAGACATGGAACTAAGTCAAGGTTTTAACATCCTAACTAGCTCAGAGTTAATTTAAAAGCTTTAGATTCCTCATTTGTCACATGAAGAGACTGGATTAGATCATGTCTAAGACACATTCTAGGGCCACAGCAGTTTAATCACGAATAACGAAGAGGCGTAAACATTAAATGCATTGGCAGAGTTAAGATAACAGAAACCGAAAATTCTTTCTTACCCTGTTTACTGTGGATGCAAGTGCCTGCAGAACGGCCACTTTATCCCTAGGAATGAAAATCACAAGTTAACCCTCACCAGAGTTTTCACACTCACAAAATGATCGAGTGATCCTATTCTCAGAATGAGCTGGCCAATAAGTTCAGGTCTTCACTAAAGCCACTTCTCACATCTCAAGATCACTAGAATAACTACAGAAAGCAGTCTGGTTCTTTTGCCTAAAGGGGGTTAGTACTATGCTTTGCCTACCCTCTGTTCCTACCTTAAAACCATCACCCAGAACTAAGGATTTCCACCCTTATCTCATAAAACTGTCTATCCTGAATCTTATCTCCTCCCATCCATTTTCCTATGCATTTTTACCGTAGCTTTCTGACTGCTCTTGCCTTCATTATCTAAACTTGGTGGCTCTTAATTCATGTGATTTATATGAAAATAAATCACATGGTGTACTTTAGACCTACACTCAGAAGCTCCAAGTTCCACAAACTGTCACATGCATTACTACTGAGTTCCCAGATGATTCTGATGGACCCTCCTGGTTTAGAAAGAACGTCTCAACTATATAACCTTTATAACAGTGGTTCTCAACCTTTCTAATGCTGCAACCCTTTAATACAGTTCCTCATGCTGTGGTGACCCCCAACCGTAAAATTATTTTTGTTGCTACTTCTTAACTGTAATTTTGCTACTGTTATGTCTTAGGTGACCCCTGTGAAAGGGTCGTTCGACCCCCAAAGGGGTCGTGACTCATAGGTTGAGAACTGCTGCTGTATAAGGATTTCAAGCCACCTATGCGTTGTGCCTGTGGGTACAGACCTCTTTACTCAACTATTGGGAAAGGTTGTTTCATCAGAATAATTGACAAGATAATTTGGGGTCAAACATTTTCATTGCTATTAGATTTTATATGTTTCATTTCCAAAGGGAAATAAAGAGTAAATTTAATGAACCAAAATATTTTTCTAAACACCCTTTAACATATAGAACAACAGAAGTCATCTGAAAAAGTCAAAAGAACATACAGGAAATTTTATATTACATCAAGGTTGAGTAATTCCCTGATGTATAAAACATCCATTAGGTTGTCTATCCATTTTAAAAAGTCACATTTATATAATTTCAGCAAAAGACAGAGACACACGTTTACCTTTGGGTATTCCCTAACAAAATTTGCACATTTCAGTCTTATCAACTGAGCACATCTTCATAACATACTAAAATTCAGTGAAAAAATTATGACATTCAGATTACTCACTGGTTCTCTTTTTTAAAGGATTACTTTACTCTTTTTTTTTTTTTTTTATCCTCACCCGAGGACATTTTTCCATTCTTTGTTCAGGTAGAGTGGGAGGGAGAGAGAGGAACAGAGAGAGAGAAACATTGATGTGAAAGGAACACATCAAGTGGCTGCCACCTGCACAACCCACCAGGGCCGGGGACAAACTGCAACCGAGGTACGCGCCCTTAGCGGGAACCGAACCCGGGTCTCTCAGGACCGCAGGCCGACGCTCTAACCGCTGAGCCAAACCAGCCAGGGCTAAAGGATTACTTTAAAAAACAATCTCAATGAATACATTATCCTTAAAAAGTAGATTAGAACATACAGGTTATGCTGAAGTGTATAGTATCATCTTATAACCGTTTGCTACTCCACTCTGAGTTTGGTGTTAGTATTCCTAAAATTTCTTTTTTTTTTTTAAACTCATCTTTTTATTTATTTATTTTTTTCTTTATTGAGCTTTCTTTTAGAGAGGAAGTGAGAGGGAGAGAGAGAAACATCGATTGGATTGGCCGCCTCCTCATGCCCCCAACTGGGGGATCGGGCCCACAACCAGGGCATGTGCTGACTGGGAATCGAACCAGCGACCTATTGGTGCCTGGGTCGACTCTCACCTGAGCCATACCAGCTGGCTCTAAAACTTTTTATGGTACCTTTACATACACATATCACCATAAAAAACATACAGTGTCATTATGTATATGTGCTTTCTAAATTTGATTGTATTATCCATGTAACTACATAGAAATCTAATTAATTCCTTTAAATGTTACATTGTATAACCACCATTTTTATTATCCACTTAGTTATTGATGGGCACTGAGGCTGGCTCAACTTGTTATGATTCCTAAATTATAAAGAAGTTTCTCATCCATGTCTATGGTGATATATTCAGGTGTTCCTCTAGATTCTAGAGTCTAGAACATCTAACCAGTAAGGTATGCAAATTTTAAATTGCAATTCTGCCACATTTCCCTCCCAAGTTTTGTTCCAACTGACTGCCCTATCAACAAATTTGAGCACCCATTTCCCACATCCTTTCTTTTATGAGCCCAGTTACCTATGCACTGATCATGACTAGGTTCCCTGCTTGCCCTAAAATAACTATATAATTCAGATTAACTTGTTCAGAACAGTGTCTTTATCATGTCACATTATGAAAATTAATAACGACTCCACAACTTATTAAGCTCTTCTATGGCACCTGGGTGACCTGGGAAATCACAGCCTCAAATCACGCTTCATCTCTAAAATAAGGCAACAGTAATTTGTAGTCCTTATGGCTCCTTCCAAGTCTAAAGCATCAATTCCTGAGCCCGAAATTCTCTGATAGAGAACCTCTATCCACCATCTTTTTTTTTTTTTTACAAAGGAACAGACAGTAAATATTTCAGGCTTTACAAGGAATCTGATGCAACTATTCAGTTGTGCCAGTGTAGCATAAAAGGAGCCACAGACAATATACTCAATTTTTAATTGACACTGAAATCTCAATTTTATATAACTTTTAAATGTAATAAAAGTCTTCTTTGAACTTTTTAAATTATTTATTTATTTTTTAAAATCCTCACCTGAGGATATTTTTCCATTTATTTTCAGATAGAGAGGGAGGGAGGGTGAGGGAGAGGGCAAGGGAGAGAGGCAGAGAGGGAGGGAGGGAGGGAGGGAGGGAGGGAAAGAGAGAGAGAGGGAAAGAGAGGGAGAGAGAGGGAGAGGGGGGGAGAGAGAGAGAGAGAGAGAGAAAGAGAGAGGACATTGATTGACTGGTTGCCTCCCATACTACTCCAACCAGGGCCGGGGACTTAACTGCAACTGAGGTATGTGACCTTGACTGAAATCAAACCGGTGAGGGCCAATGCTCTAACCGCTGAGCAAAATTGGCCAGGGCTTCTTTTGACTCTTTTTTTAATCCTCACCCAAGCACACTTTTCCATTTTTTGTTCAGATAGAGTGGGAGGGAGAGAGAGGAAGAGAGAAACATCGATGTGAAAGGGACACATCGAGTGGCTGCCTCCCACAGGGCCCAACCAGGGCCGGGAATGAACCACAACCAAGGTACATGCCCTTAGCAGTAACCGAACCCGGGTCTCTCTGGATCGCAGGCCGATGTTCTAACCGCCGAGCCAAACTGGCCAGGGCCTTTTGACTTTTTAACTATAAAAAATGTAAAAACCATTCTTGGCTCAGGAGCCATTAAAAAAATTGGCCTTAGCCTGCTGACCAATGCTCTATATCAACTATCTCCCTTTCCTTTCCCTATTCTAACAGCATTTTTCACAGGCCTGCCTGCTTGGCCTCCTACCATCACATTTCATGATCACGTTTTCTGTATCTGTGGGTCTCATGCTTTAGGATTCATGAGAATTACTCACAACATTATGCATTTATAGAAAATTCCCAGGTGATTCTGATGCTAATAAAATAATCTTAACCATTTTAAGGTACAGGTAAATTTCTATACTTTTCAATAAAACTCACCTTCATTATTGCAATACAACTACTCTTGACGTTTATCATATCCTGTATTGCCTCTAATCATGTACATAAATTATGTACATATGTAATGTGAGTATAGTGTACAAAGTATAAGCATGCATGAGACTGGGCTAGATCATAAGCCATCTGAGCATACCCTCCAAAAGCTCCATTTATTCCCTGTAGTAGCTTCCTCAGGGATAGAGTCCAATAAAAATGCTTTGAACTTAAATTCTATTCAGAAAAATGACTCATCAATGCATGTGTTTGTTCCTACTCTTTTTTTGTTTTATCCTCACCCAAGGACATTTTTCCATTTTTTTGTTCAGATAGACTGGGAGGGAGAGAGAGGAAATGAGAGAGAGAAAGAAAGAGAGAGAGAGAGAGAGAGAAAAATTGACCTGAAAGGGACGCAGAGTGGTTGCCACCCGCACGACCCAATCAGGGCCAGGGACAAACTGCAACCGAGGTATGCACCCTTAGTGGGAACCGAACCCAGGTCTCTCTGGACCACAGGCCAACGCTCTAACCGCTGAGCCAAATCAGCCAGGGCAGTTCCTACTCTTATCTTGGTTCTGATTCTCATGCCAGGGAAGATAGAAATGAACCTGAATATAATAAAATACTATGTAGGAATTAAGTATTAAAAATAGAGTAAAGAACAGTACATCTAATAAATCAATTCTACTAAACTAAATGTATACATATAAGTTATATTAAAAAAACCATACTCCTGAACTTTAAAATAATAGCTATCATCTACAGAGCTCTGACTCCGTGGCAGGCACTAATCAAATGCTTACTTAATCCTTTGGGAAGGTACTATCATTACCCACATTCTACTATCGCACAGAGATTAACTTGCCTCTGAGTAGTGTGACTGCTAGTAATCTCGTTTCCTTTTTGCATGTTCAGTTTATCATAGCCACCTTTTGGTAATAACCATTAATACTTTTGCAATTTAAAAATGCTTTTTAAAAAAACTAACTTTAGTTTTCAGGTCATATTCAGGAAAGATCTAGCATTTTGAGGTGGCCTTTAAATATCATTACTACAAAAATTTCTGTGAAGAAGTTTTAGTTCTTATATACTTGACAAATATTGAATAACTAAGGCAATTTGTTTAAGAATCTATCTATCCAGTGAGTTAAAAAAGCTAAATTTTGCAGTCCACATCATTTATTTTACTACCTCATTAAAGACCGTAAAGATACTATTTTTGTCTGCTCTCCCAACCATATGAGAATTTCCTTGAAAATAAAAAATTATTCTTATGAATATTGTTATGTAAATATTAACCCAAATTCAGTTCAGAAAATCTTTTAATTCTTAAATAAATCTCATTCCCCATTCCCTCACTACTTTCCGCCTTCCTGTTTTATGTTCTTTTAAGCTCCCCAGTTCTTCCTTCCTCAACTATTCCCTCCCCAAGAATGTTCTCCATTGCTCTTGTCACTGAATCCTTACTTAACAACGTTTGCTCCTCATAAGCACTCAACCACCTGGTGAATAAACACTGACTAAATACTCACCACGTTTTCCTTTTTGGAATGACCACTTCTTCAATCCCTTAATGGGAAAAAAAAACAACAACCAAGTGAATCAATTTTCCAGTACTACTACTACAAATAAGTACAATGTGTTAATATAAAAATGAAATTATTTCAATATATTTCTATGTACCTGTTACATCAGTTCCTTCAACCTTTGGGAGGGCTGTACTTCCAGAATAAAGTCTGCAAAAAAAAATAAGAGCCCTAAAGTTAACATTCATTAAGTTCCCGCCTTACTTCCACTTATGTGCATTTTGAGCCCAAATTTTCCAATTATCATGAATCAAAATGATGGGATAATTCATGCTAATGTACACTGAGAAGACATGGCCTCAACACCAAGTTCAAATACATTATTTTTTATTTACTTATTTATTTTTATCCTCACCCGAGGACATTTTCCCATTTTTTTGTTCAGGTAGAGTGGGAGGGAGAGAGAGGAACAGAGAGAGAGAGAGAAACATCAACGTGAAAGGAACACATCGAGTGGCTGCCACCCGCACGACCGACCAGGGCCGGGGACAAACTGCAACCGAGGTACGTGCCCTTAGCGGGAACCGAACCCGGGTCTCTCAGGACCGCAGGCTGACGCTCTAACCGCTGAGCCAAACCGGCCAGGGCTCAAATACATTATTAAATACATATAAGATATGGACACAACATGGTCAGTGTTTTAAATCAGGTAATCTCATTAAATAAAACCAGGGGGAAAAGCAAAATTTTAATAGCACCTGAACAAATGAACAGCTAATCTGAAATATAAGGGAATTTTAACTTGGGAATCTAAAACACTCAAGAGGAACAAGTTAATAAGCTACTTTTTATATGGGTAATGCCCTAACTATAAGTCTATCCACTTAAAGCAATTATGGCAAACTATGAAGTTATTTTCATAATTTCAGTCCATTTCAACAATCAGGAAAGTACCAAAAATGTATGTCCTAATTTAAACTTGGAACTGCTTGATTTTTTTTTAATCCAAAATATAGAATCATTGACCCATGGCTGAGTTTTAAATTTTTCTGATCACACTAAAATAACAGTCAATATACCACATAGACAATGTACACTATTTATTATCTTATGTATTGCCTTCCTGTATGGCATTGGTACCATTCTTAAAATTGTCAAGATGTGATTAGAAAATTAATTCCTCTGTGGGTATCTAGTCTGACATCTGCCCAGCAGGTGTGGCTCAGTGATTGAGTGTCCACCAATGAACCGAGAGGTTGCCAGTTCATTCATGGTCAGGGCACATGCCCAGGTTGTGGGCCCCACCCCCGGTGGGGGGCATGCAGGAGGCGGCCAATCAATGTTCTTTCTCATCTACGTTTCCATCTCTCTCTCTGAAAATTAAAAATAAAATAAAACAATACCTCTGCTTAGGTATCAACTTCAGAAAGGGATCACTCTTTCAAAGCATGCTATTTCTTATGACATTAGGACAAACAGATCACTGTTGTTTTTAACAAGGAAAAAATTCTGAATGTCCTAATTAAATTACAGCAATGTGAAAGAGACAAAAAATGGTGGCTACCTTTGGTTAATATCTTACCAGTTCTTCCCATTCCTCCTGGTCGAGTGAAAATGAGAGCAAATGATTAAAACAAGTTTGTTGGGGGGCTTTTTTGTCTTTATTGATTTTAGAGCGAGAGAAGGGGAGAAAGAGAGAGAGATGGAAATATCGATGAGAGACTCTCGATGGCCTTCCCCTGCAAGCCCCCCACTGGGGATCAGGCCCACAACCTGGGCATGTGCCCTGACCGGAAATCTTACTGGCCACCTCTTGGTGTAAGGGTCGAGGCTCCAACACTGAGCCACACCTGTGGGGCACAAATGATTTTATTTAAAAAAAAAATCTGGGATGGGGATTTCTAACAGCCACACTAGCTAAATTACTGGCTTCACGGGAGAAGGATCGTAGTGTGGCCTCCAGTTGGGTAGGCCAGCCAAGCAATAAATATCTTTCCAATAAATGTGTTTTGATCTTTCGCCCCCTAGCACGCGGCTACGATAGGGTGCATGCGCAATCCACTGCAACGTGCCTCATTTCTCTGCTCTCGGGGAAAAGGGGAAACACATGAGTAGGTTGACACCTGGGTCTTCCTCGTGGGTTCCTTAAGCCTGTCTTACCTGCAACTAGGGGCCAGTCCACATGCACCTGCCCGCTGATCCGTCAGCGGCAGGCAAAGCCTACGGCGGAGCCTCAGCCAGCGAAACGAAGCCGCCGCCGCCATCTTCGGTGTCTTCGCATTGCATGTTGGGAAAGCATGCCTTCCACCTTCCGAATCTCCAAGGGAGGGGAAGGTGGGCGGGAATAGCTCGGCTATTGGCTGAGTCGGAGCAAGAAGAAACCAATCATAAAGCAGTTTACGAGCTCCTGTTTTGAAAGAATTTGTTACAGAAGTGCTTAATACGCCTCAATTGCACCACAGAGATTTTTTAAAACGATCATTTTAATGCCATATATCTTCGATTGTTTTCCAAATAAGAGGTCTAGTGAGAGTCGTGAAATTACTTCTCTTCCTCCCCCCCCTAGAACGGAAATGATCTCGTCCACGTAAATCTCATGAGTCCCAGCGAGAGTTTGTCGCGTGCATGCGCAGTTGAAATCACATGGCGGCTACGGGCTTGTTTGTGGCTGTGTTAGGAATTTACTAGGGTTGTCTGGAATTTCTTTCTGGGTGTCGGAACTGGAAACTGACCTGGAGGATGTTGGGCTCAAAGAACATGCCCTGGAGGCGGCTGCGGGGCATTTCCTTCGGGATGTATTCGGCCGAAGAGCTCAAGTAAGTACTTGGTGGGAAGCGTGCAGAGCTTGTCTCTTGAGGTCGGCACCTTTAAAAACTACTATTCCCGGAAGGTCTTGCGCCCAGCTATCCTCTGAGTCCATGGTTTTCGGGCGCGTGGCCTGCTGGGACCTGGAGTACTGGGAACGCCTAGGGCTGGAATGCACTGCCTAGAACCCGGTGGGGCTGCGAAAGAGTTTGCGCTGGGGAGGAGGGTTTCTCTGCAGCGTTATCCGTCGGTCTTCTTGTTAATTAACCAGCGTTTGTGAAGTTACTGTAATGTTTCTGAAGCGGTTAGTTAAGCACGTAATTAGTCTCTTGTCTGTAACATGATTATCCCTCACAACTCAATTCTGGCCACTTCTGTTTTCTAGGATCCTCTGTATTCCCAGGACCTTACTGTCTTCAGGTTCTTTTTCTGTGACAAGTACTTCTCCCTTCCTTACTCCATCAGTTTATTAACCCACTAATATTTATTGATTTTTCAGTTTTTGTCAGGCAGTATGCTAGGCGTTAGTGACACATTGGTGAACAAGGTAATTTCATTCATGGCTTATATTCTAATGTGTTTCAAGCTCCTTAGCCAATTCCTCTTTCCCTAAAATCATAGTGTTCCTGGAGGTTCTGTTCGTACTGCCTTTCTTGTCCTTCATGTCATCCCTTTGATTTTATGACAATTTTTCCACTTTCATGATTGATATTCTCAAATTTAAATCTCCAGCAAAAATTTCTTTTTCTGATTTTCAGCTCGTTTGTTCAGCTGTTTTCTCGACATTTCTACCTGAATTTCACACAGAGATCTTAAACTCGTATGTCAAAAACTCAACATGTAACCCCTGGGGTACATCTGATTTATTTATTGAGCTCTTACTATGTGTCACCTACATAACTGTTTGTACTCTCCTTTTCATCACTATTGCTACTACCTTAGTTCACATCCTTATATCTTGTTTGAAATGCATTTTCTTTTGACCGTATACCTGTCCAGTTCATTCTTCACGTTGCTGTCAAAATTATTCTTCCAAAGTGTAAATGTGATCATGCTACTTAAAATGTGATTGAGGCAGAATGTAAGAAACTAGGGAATGTCCTTGACAAGTGGAATAAGGGAAACTGAGACAAAATAATTAAACAATTTGATGTCTAACCCGTGTGGCTCAGCGGTTGAGTGTCAATGCATGCACTAAGAGGTTGCTGGTTGATTCCCGGTCAGGACACATGCTCAGGTTGTGGGCCCGATCCCCAGTGGTGGCCAGTTGATGTTCTCGCTCATGGATGTTTTTTTTTTTTTTTTTTTTTTTTTGCATTTATCCTCAGACAGAGTGGGAGGGAGAGAGGGGGAAGAGAGAGTGAGAAACATCGATGTGAGAGAGACACATCAACTGGTTGCCACCCACACAACCCCAACCAGGGCCAGGGACAAACTGCAACCGAGGTACATGCCCTTAGCAGGAACCGAACCCGGACCTCTCTGGTCCGCGGGCTGATGCTCTAACCGCTGAGCAAAACCGGCCAGGGCACTCTCATGGATGTTTCTATCTATCTCTCCCTCTTACTTCCTCTCTCTCTAAAATCAATAAAGGAAAGAAAAAATTTTTAAAAAAGATAAAAAAAATAACTAAACAATTTGAGCAATTTACAGCCAGCTAATGAATCAAAAGGTTTTATTTTCCCTAACCAAGGACACTTAGGAGCAAAGGGTTTACACATTCCAGACCATCCAGGGGCAGACCAGCATCAGTCCAGGTCCCTTTTCGACAACATTGTGTTTAAAATTGAAACTAACCAGAAAATAACCCTGACCCCTCTGTACCCACATTTTGATGAATCAATATTTTGAAGGACACACCTAGAAAGCTGATGAATAGTCTGTTGAGCCCCTCCCCTGAAAACTCCCCTAGGATTCCCCCTGGCTAAAGAAAGATATAAAGCCTCAAGACAAAGTAGCCTGCATGCCCTCTCTAGAACACACCCATATCTTTCTACCTTAGTAGTATGTCTCTGCTCTTTTTCTCCTAAACACTGAGGATCCCCACAAGATTTGCAACCAGGGGAGCAACGGGCAGTGGCTCGTCCCTGGCTTATCCCCTGAGCCTGTTTCCAAGGCCCCCTTTTTCTCTGTCTTTCCAGTGAGCTAACAGCAGCCCTTACTTCTCAGTGAGTTCACGCAGCCCAGCTTGGCTCACTTCTTTCCTGTGCTTCTAAAGAGCCAAAGCAGCCCCACCTAGGGGCTCTCCTGTTGCTTCTTCTATCCGAAGCCCTTCCTTGTTTCACTGTCTCCAAGCTGTAATAAATGTACTTTCAAAAAATCACTTGGAGTTGTTTTGTGAAATCTTTCCTGCATGAAGTCAGGAACCCACACACTACAGACCACCCAAGGCAGACCAGCTCCAGCCAGGTCCCATCTGGTAACATGATCATGTCACCCTTATAACTTCTCAGAGGTTCTGCATTTCTCTTGGATATGCAGAGGATACTTTCTTGGCTTAGCGTACAAGTTTTGCCATGATCAGGCAAATGCAGATTTTAGCTATAACATTATCTTTCTCCTAGCCCTACCAAATCACTTGAGCATTCCAGAACCTGCCATCATGTTCTAACATTTGGACCTTCTGTCAGACTATTTTTTCTGCATGCAATGTCCTCCTGTCTCTCTTCCCTCACCCTCAGCAGACACCTGGAGAGTGCCACCTCTGGTAACATTGGGAACAGTATGCTAGCCCAGAAATTCCCATTATATCATCACCATCCATAGGTACAGTTTCATCCGAAAGCAAAGTGTTTTAGGTTGCTTGAATTAAAAATAATAATAATAATTGTGGAGATTTCAAACAGGAAACTGCATGAGTAAGTTTATACCTATTACAAATACTGTAGACCTATGTGTATCTAGGGTCAAGACATTTCAATAATTATGCTACCTTTTATTACACTAGTTTCTAATAGCTTCCCATCTCACTTGGAGTAAAATTCAGGTCCTTACAGTGGCCTGGAAGGGCCATTCTGGTCCCTGTTACTTCTCTGACTCACCTCTATTCCAGCCACCCTGGCTTCCTTGCTATTCCCAAAGCACCATAAACACACATCCACCCCAGGACCGTTGCTCTCCCTGCTTCTGTCTCCTATAAAGCCCTCTGCCCAGGTAATTGTATGACTTACTTCCTCATCTCCTTCAGGCCTTTGCTTAAGTATAGTACATCCTCCTTAGTGTGGGCTTCCCTGACTACTGGCCCACCCTGTCATCCTTCCTCTTTCCTGCTTTACTTTTCTCCACTTTCTGCCATTTAACAGACTTTATACTTACTTGTTTTGGTTTTTGTCTGCTTGCCTTTTTCCAATAGAATGTAAGACCCCTGAGTACAGGGATTCTTGGCTGTTTTTCCAGCAAAAGTGCGTCTGGAAAGTAAGCACTTGGTAGGTAGTTTTGATTGCATGCTTGAGTAGATGAGGGAGCTGTCCATTCAGCACTTGGCACTTTCAGTTCTTACTATCACCGTTTCTGGTGGTGTCTCCAATCTTGCAGGAGAGGGAATTCAGGTCCAGAGAATGAAGTAACTCTAGGAAATAGCAAAGGTCATCCTCAAACCCAAGTCTTAGTCTCAAGCTTGGTTCTCTTTAGTGGAATCCTTGCTGGTTGCCCCTCCTCTCTGACCCATTCCTGCCATAGTTAGGTGACTTTCTCCTTTTCCCAGCAAGAGAGGGGATCTTTGTCCCAAGCACTATTATATATATTTTATATATAATATCTTCTGATTATCATAATGAAGCTGCTACATTGATGAATTTTTAGGTGGGGGGGACTTCTGTGGCCGGTTTTTCTCAGTGGTTAGAGCGTCAGCCTGCAGACGAGAGAGTCATGGGTTCGATTCCAGTCAAGGGCGCATGCCTTGGTTGTGGTTCGGTCCCTGGCCGAGGTCGAGCGGGAGGCAGCCAGTCGATGTGTCTCTCTCACATTGAGATTTCTCTCTGTCTCTCTTTCTCTTTCTGTTTCTCTCTCTCTCCCACTCTATCTGAAGATAAATGGAAAAATATCCTCAGGTGAGGATTTAAAAAAAAGCTAAGTAGTTTGTCCAAGGTTGTCCAGTTCAAGGTTGCAAGTGGACTCAGGTTTGTGGTAAGAGACCACACACACAACGTGGAGTGAGATTAAATTTCTCCTGTAATTAGCTTACTTGCAGCAAGTGACCATGCAGACAAGAGCCGCATCAACAGGTCTCCATGTAGCCTCCCTTGGCTCTCAGAGTGACATCAGTCATGCAAGGTAGGGTCTCTTGAATCTGTTCTTGGTTCTTGATGCATTACTACCATTTTACACTCAGTTCATAAGTCACCATTCAGGAAGAACTTAATAGTGTCCTCAGGCTCCATGAAAAGGAATGTTTCCGTCAGTTGGGGGCCCTCTCCTCCCCGCTAGGCTACACTGTTGTTAGATTAGAGCAGGAGAGTGGGGTCAGGGCCCAGGTGTTCCTGAA